ACTCTAAAAACAGGCACTCTAGCTGAACCCACGACACGTCAAAATTGGAACAATCGATGAACTGTCGTAAAAGTCGTGGGAAAAGTCATTCCAATCGAGCAAACAGATGCCGGCGCCGGTGTTGTTGTGGTAAGCGTGACTGCTTTCTAACACCCCAATGGGTCTGGGTTCAATCCCAGCCGAGGTCGGTGGGATTTTTCTGAGGCATAAAAATCTCTGGTCACGTCTTCCTTCGGAAGGGAAGTAAAGCCGTTGGTCCCGGCCCATGTGTGTTGTGAATGGGTGCGATATCCTACGCAGGTGTGGAAGCTGCCTTTCTGCACATTCGATTGCCGTCAATGGATGGCAATCGATGTCCGTCGGTGATTGGCACTAGATTGCGGAACAGAGACCGACGTTAAATAAAGGAAAGAAGAAGAAGAAGAAGAAGAAGAAGAAGAAGAAGAAGAAGAAGAAGAAGAAGAAGAAGAAGAAGAAGAAGAAGAAGAAGAAGAAGAGCAAACAGATGAGATGTCGCCTCTTTACACAATTCAGTCTCTTTAATTTCACTGTAGTTGCTGACACTAATGGCTGTAAGCTCCATCCCATCCATTATATATATAAATATATATATATATAAATTTATATCGGCATTACCCGTTAGATTTTGTCATCACAATTTTGACTTCCTAGCTTTTCAAAATCTTTAATAAATGCAAATCTTATCATCTGACCTATTCCGCGAGTCGTGCGAATCTCCACCACCAATGAGTCAACAAAAGTCACGCACTAGTGGGGTGACTCTCCATGCAATCAAATGAAGAGTCACCTCACACGAGGCGACCACCGTCACCCTACTAGCGACAGAGAGCCATACTACTCGCAGAACAGGCCTGCAGGTGACGTTTAAAGCTCCACAATTTTACTGAAAATCTAAGAAAATTATTAAACAGAATTTAATAATATAACTGCAGAGCACAAGCTGTTTAAATATACTGAGGACGTGTTGCCAAAATCGAACGGGTACTTTATATGTTTATTAATTTATCTTACCTTGATGGACCAACTACTTACCTGTCCTTAATGGTCATAAGCTCCAATCGGTATTTCCCGGTAAATCCGATCACGATCCTTTACAACATTTGGCCGACACCAACGCGCATCATCGCAACCAGGCTTGCAATTGCTCATTACAGCTAAAATGCTATTTTTCGGTATTATGAAACCTTATCCAGCTTTCCACACTCGGCAATGGCGTCCTGTAGGTATGAATAAATATATCCTTCACTGTGGTTTTTGACACTAACTGGAGGGCGTATGTTGTTCCATTTTCCTCTGTTCCTGGGAGTGGGAAAGAGAGGGATGACAATGCGAACCTCCAGTTAATGTCAAAACCACAGTGAATGATACATTTATTGATACCATACTGGACGCCATTACCGAGCGTGGAAAGCTGGATTGCCTTATGCAGCTAATTTTTGCCTGTATAAGCTAAGCTGCAGCTAAAATTGTTTGTTGGGTGTAGACATCAAAGCAGCCGGACATTCTTGATCGACATCCAAGTATAATACCGGGTGGATCTTACCACCATTGGCATTGAAGGTATCGTCGCAAAATCGTCTCCTCTAGCCATGTTTCACGCACAGACTGTCGTTTGCTTATGGGATTTCACCATAAGCCTAGTTGTATACAGATGGAAGCGAAGTGAAATTTGAAGCAAGTGAAAATTCATGAAATTACGCAGGCTAAAAAGGTTATGGAAAAATTGACGTGGAACATTTTCGCAGTTCACAGTTTACGTGAAGTGAAATCGATCAGTTTACACCTCCGTTGAAGTAAAAATCTTCCAGATACACGTCAACTTTTCGCTTAAGACCTGTATAGAGATCGAAGCGAAGTGCACGGCGAATGAGAACGACTCAAATTTGAGTTTAGTTCACTCATAATCGCCAAAAGTGCAGGAACTCAGCGATGAGTAAATTTGCCTCATGTTTTCCCAGGTTTTTCGAGGGAAAAAAATCCCGAATTTGAGAAAAGTAAAGATTGGATTCACTCAGTCTATTGGTACTACTCGGAGCCTGAATAAAATTTTCGTCAATTTCCTCATTTTCCGGCAAAATACATCCGTTATACTTGCTCGTACAGCTTCCTTGCACGGTTTTTGGCAACCAGGTTTTGCTTCAGCGTCCTGCTGGGATGTTTGCTGGCGTGGTGCGACTGAAAACCTTCTCGCATACAGAAATGAGCCTTTTCACCAAATCACGTCCGGAGATCCCAGGTTTTTTGGACTGCCCTTAATACGACCCATCGAGCGGCGCACAACGATTTTATCACACCAATTTTTCATCTGAGCTGCCATTTTGGTGACTGTTCCTTTTACCTCCAGTTTCCTCTTCATGATAGCCCAGTAGTTTGCAATGGGCCTGAGCTGGGGACAATTCGGTGGATTGAGGGTTTTCGGAACAAATTGGACTCCGTTGTCATTGTACCACCGACAAACCGACATCAATGACCATAGCAAAAACAATAAAATTTCTGACCGAAGCACACTACTGACATCTGGCTCCGTGTTCACGGGAAATGTTTAGCTAAGCCATGAACCCGCATGCAAAGTTATGAACTGGTTCGTGCCTGATCTATTCTGGACAAATTATTTTTATCTAGATCAAAAAATCCTATGGTTTTGACAGTTCGGATCACCGTACATTTAAATCGTCCGTTTACGATTTTCGGGCATAAGTCAGTACTTCCCGGCTGCAGTGACCACTCGCAAGATCCGGCCAAAATGTTACCGGACTATCAAGTGAATGGATGAAGGGCAGAATTCACTTCTGGAGACATTCGGTTTTGTAAACCTCCGAGTTCAACATTTTCTCAGTGACGAAAACCTTTTTCCTCTGGCCGCAGCTAGAAAATTCCCAGCCAGATCAATGTGAATTTATGCGCAAAAACAAATTTGAATCTACCAGGGACACCTCCTCGAGCCTTCACTTTGTAAAATTTTGGTGCCAAATAGCAGCTGTCCGAAGTAGGCCTTTACATAGTTTGCATCATCAATAAGTATACACCCACCGGACTTGGTCAGCAGGTTGTCATACAGCTTTCGAGCACGGGTTCTAGCTACGGTAGTCTGCTTGAGCGATCGATTTGGTTGCCTACTGGCGCAGTATGCCTGTAAGCCTTCGCGGTGATGAATTCGCTGCACTGTACTACGGGCGGCATCATACTTTTTACTCAAATCGCGATCGGATATTCCTGGGTTGCTTCTGATGGATCTCACGACCTTTCCATGGAGCTGACGGTTGGCAGTTCTACTCCGGCGTTTACTTAGAGGCTTCCGATTCGTCGTCAGGTTTCCCTGTACGATTTGAGCACGCGCCATACGGTGTTTCTAGGAAAATTCAACACTTTAGCTAGCTTGAACGTGGGCCACGATGGATTTTCCAGGTGTTTGTGCACGATTATTTTTTCTACGCTCACTCCAAAACAAGAGCGGCGTCACAAGCTTCAGAAAACGTCCACTAGGGGTGCTGTAATAAGCCAATGAGTTTGTTCCATTACTAAATGGACCATGGTTTATGTTCCACTTCTACGTTTGTTTTGCTTTGTGCGATCCAACGTTAGTGTTTCCCGGTAACGTTTAATCACGGTATTTACAGTCGATTATGAAATTTGAGATCATTCCTCCTGACCACGTTGGGTTTTCAACGTGAGGGTGCAGAATTTTGGAACGTCTCTCACCGTTCCATCTTCGAGAACTTTTAAAAGTGTGTATAAATCCAGATGAAATTTTCATCACCCAATAAACAATCCTTTCAGATTAAAACGCTGTCAACAGTTTCTTGCTGCGACAACTAGAGACGCTACAGCAGTTAAAAAGAAACGGCCAAATACTAATCGGAACAGCCTTTAGTAGAAATTTTGAACATTTTTTTTCCACAAATAATTCACGCCTCCGCTTCCAACAACGGACACAAAACTAGACCTAATGATGTCAACGGTGGTGTAGCTTTCCATTCCGTGGGAGTAAAGACGCAAATTTTCCTCCCACAAAAATTGCACCAGAAGAATCTAATTTTAGCACACAGATCAGAAACCGCAGACCTCACACAAAAAATAGTCCATTCATCGAGCGACCGACCGAGCAAAGTGGCCATTTTTCTCGGAATGTTTCGCGCTTCGCTTTGACTAGGTGATACAATCCGAAATCGAATCGGATAGCATCGCAGGACGATCGATGACGGCAAAACTGACTTTTCAACCAACCACGACTGCTGAGAACTTATTTTCGTCCGTTTCATCAATCCAGCGACTTTGCACACGCTTTCTGTATACAGGGGAATCGAAAAACGATACTTGGTTCGGTGGTTTACATTCGTGGGAGTGCAGAATCCAAGTCGTAATTTTTGATTTTTGGAAAAGCGACCGCGATGAGTCATGTTAACAACTTGCTTCCCGGCTATAACTAACCCTCTCCATGCGAACCGTTAGACCTCCCGCCCGCTTGCGTCAGACTTCAGCACGCAAATAAAAACAAAGCAACCCTTGACACAATCAGGAACGCAACCACCACCAACCAAAACTCCATATTCTCTTGCAGAGACGTGGCGTCGATTGGGAGAAGGTTCCGTTCGTGCCGCGACCGAGCTTGATTCCGGATCCGATTACTGCCTACGGTAAACATCGTCCCCGCAAGCAGGAACGCGTCTCCATTCTGGAGGCAATCAATCGCGAAGGAATCGAACCTGATCCGAGAATCCTGGCTCGACCCATCGATGACTACATGTCGCCACGGGATCGCAACCGGTCGCGCATTCTGAACGAATCCATCCGCAAGGAGCACGCCCGATCCACTGGCCACACGTCCGACCTCGACAACGTCGACACGGTTCTCCGTCGACTGCACAATGAAGCTCCCGTCAAGCAACATCGACGTCATGTAATCTTCTTCGAGCCCGGTTACGCTAGGAGCTATAAGCACTAGACGGAAGCGGAAGCCCTGAACCGGGAATTTTACTAGGAATCAACCCTGCCCCTCCTACCTCTTCCGACTCTGACTAACGAAACGACTAACCATAAGTAGTATACTAACGACAACGATAATACACATACAATTACAGCAATGGAAATGACTAACACTCAAAGACGGCTACTAAACAGCTGCGAGATAAACTAATGGTAATTATGAATTCTGTGACATTTTTTTTAAAGAACCAAACTGTATTTGGCTGCGTACTTCAATATGTAACGCCTTTTCAGGGATGAAATTGTGGTTTCATACGAGTACGCAGCCATTCTGAAGATCAGTATTATTTTTATGTAAATTTTGTAGAGTACAAACATGTTTCAATTTCTTGTGCTTAGTTTTGCGAAAAATAGTTACGCGAGATCCCTTGTACCTAGTAAGCTTCAAACCGTAGAGTACCACCCTTTTACAATCTGTTTTCTCTGTATGCTGTATGTTGTTATTCACACCCATTCACAGACCCCTCGTTATTCCACTTACACCACCTCTGACGTTGGAGCGCCCCGTCGCGACGAGTCATCGTACTCATACTCGAAGACCGTTCGCTCGGAGACATCCAGCGCTGCCTCCGATCCGTACTCGTCGCGTCCGTCGACGTCATCCTCGACGTATTCTTCGACTGCGGAACGCAACAGCCGTGGCGGCCCGGGTGGCTACTCGTACAATACCGAGCGCACCAGCACCACCGGCAGTGGACCGGGCGGTTACAGCTACAGCTCGACCACTTCCGGCCGGCTGCCATATGGAACCTCCTACAGACACTACTCCTACCGTGTCTAAGCCGTTTCGGCACACAAGCAAAAGTGGCACCACTCACGAACGCAGCCAAATTGGCAGATTGTCCTAACACTTTTTTATCTACCGTGCAAACAAAAAAACAAACCAAAAAAATGTCAATTCGAAACACATTTGTATTTTTGTGACTAATTACTATTTATTATAATGAACAAATATATGATCCCCAAATACACACACACACATACACAGGCAAACAAACACCAACACAAAACCAATGAGAAATTGGAACGAAACCTATCCCCCCAAGGGAGGTGAAACAAATTTACATAAAAATAAGAAACTCAAACGAACAAACAAACATTTTTACTCTCTCAAATGTATAAACAATGATGGAAAAGCTTTTTTGTGTAATCTTTTTACTTTGGAATTTTGCAAATAAAACGAACAAATGAGTTCAAAACTCTACAAACAACTGTTTTGTTTACTTTATGTTGAGTATCCATTCCGAAGGATCAATAATTGTGCTGCGATCAGAGGTGCAGTGGAATGCGATGTTTATTTTGTTTTTGCTCTGACAGTTCATCGAAAGCCATCAAAGTAGGCTACGATATTCGGCAGCACAGCAAAACCAACCGGGACTTACGCTTGATAATTGCACTTGCTTACACACTTACACTAAATCACCTCCTCCACATTTGATTGCTATATCCTATATTGATACTTTATTTTCGTTTTTTTTTGTAAACAAGCAACTACAAACAAACAGCAACACATCTGACATTCCACTGTACTAATGATTTTCATATCTGTCTCTCTCTCTCTGTAAACTCTGTTCTCCTGTGTTCTACTTATGTGTGTGAGTGTGTTCTCGTCCAAATGTTTTTTCCGTGTTTTCTGAAAGAATATGTGTCTCCTCGTGTCCTAGTGATAGCAGCAGTAAACAGTGATTCGTTGTTAACGCTTCCGTTCTACCATTGTTCTTTTTTCCGTCACAGACTCCTCTGCGATATTCTGGAGTGCCAAGAGTGAGTATGATTAGTTGTCCGATGGTGATGGCTGTCGCCGCCGTCAGGCAATCCCATGTCTGTATGTGTTATTAACGTCTCTATGTTTTTTGACCCCTTGTGAATGATCACCACGAATATCACACGATCACACGATAAACTCTCAGCTCGATACATTCACCACTACCACCACCACCTATCGCACCCCAATGCCATACGTCGCCCATAAGCGCATTGTTCCAATCACTGGATACGCCACTTCACCGTCAAGGTATTCGCCGGTGCGGATGTACGGTTCACCCGTACGCGTGATCAGATCGCCGGTCCGTGTCTTCGGGTCACCGATTCGGGTCATCAGCTCACCGGTCCGAACCGTGGTCCGAGCCGTCCGATCGCCAGTTCGCGTCATCTCCTCACCGGCACGCGTGGTCACCATCCGTTCGTCTTACTTGCGCCCGTCGATCATCAACAAAGAATTCGATCGTATCGAACGTAAATACCGTTCCAGTCCCGTAAGTAGCGCCCTCGAGCAGTATTACAACTCGCCATCCTACTTGGTAAGAATCGATGTTAAGACACAGCAAAGTTGATAGACGATACGTAGAGCCCTATCTCTTCCTCCTGCCTCTATAAATTCTGTCCGGAGGGCAACACTGCTGATTCTAACCAAGAGCCAATCGAAACCCTGCTGAAGCCTATGTGCGCTGCGCCTCTGTTCTATCATCACATCTTCAACCACTCTCACCTCTTACACAGATCTTCAATGACAGGCGAAAATTTGAAACAAAGCAACCCACTGGCAAATACGACACCATTATAACACCTTGAATGCTAACCACCTTGTGTAATACGGCAGAGCCGCACCTTTTGTGCGATGACCTTGACCCACTTTTGCGTTCATTCACCTTACACACTTTGTCATCAATCATCTGCTCGGTTTGCCACACACGGTTGATGATTGAAACGCGGAAAGGTGTTTCTATTTTTCCACTTTCGAAGGTCATCTGTCACCTCACTCTCACTCTCTCTCTCTCTCTCTCATACTGCCACTGAAACAAACAAAACATAAGTGCCACTAACACACTGTTTGCGATCCGAATAGTAAAGAACGGTGTTTCCTAACAACCGCCAAAGGGTTTTTTAGGAAACCACCAAACAAAATTATTGCGCCGCTAATCACAGTTCCTTGTTAAACACTTCTACGTTTCCGTCAACGAACCGAACGCCTACTGGGGATACTGCCATGAAAGTACGCAGCCACAGCTAGAACTTCGTTTCGTTGACGATCAGTATCGGACGCAATGGTTGATGCGAATGTAAACTAACCGAAACTATAAATGGCCCCTGATTGCACAGGAATTCGAGGACGAGAAACGTGAAATCCGCAATTCGAGTGCTCTGCTGCTGCGCCAGTTGAACGACCCAGTGCCACGCCTGATGGGACCCTCGGCCCCTGCCGCAGCTGCCGAACCAAAGTACAACAACACAATTCCGCTGCCATGTTTCCCCAATTACTAACCTACCTTATTGACCTATTTAAAGCCCGAAAAGATGGGTCTACGATCCGTTCAGCAGCCACAACAGACTCAACAGCGAGACGTACGTCAAGAATACCATCACCGACCCACTGCGTAGTGTTGCCAAGAACATTGAAGCCATTTCCAGATACCACTCGCCTGCTTCCCGTTACGTCGGTAAGTGTCATCCAGCAGTGCGCTTTGATCACACCTGCAACGATTTAGCAAATCGAAACAAAAAAAATCCTTTCTATCGCTATATTCTTTATATTCCTGCTACCGAGTTTCAGTAGTTTGTTTTAGCTATGAATTAGAGTAGACTTTCTTCCTTTTTCAAGCATCACGCTGCCATTCATGCTTCTTTGAGCCCAGATTCAAGAAAACAGTATGGTTCACCAATCACCCCGCCTACTGATGCGCGCGAGTTCCTATTGTCTCATTTGTGCAGAAAGCGTCCGTTTGACAGTTTTTGTTTCTTTTTACTCCCACCATGTTTTACGCGCTTCTGGTGTTGCAACACATCTCCACACATTGAAACTGTAACCTTTAATTCCGCATCAAATCTTCACCGGCTTTCGCCTTTGCACATTGCTCCGCGGGACTGCCCTCCACATATCGCCAATCAAACACAGAATACGTCCTGTTGGATGATATCCTCTGGCGCTATACGTACTACGTTGATGAAGATGGTTAGTATTGACATTTTGTTTTGTAAAACTGGTTTTCGATCCCATCTGAATGTCGTCGGATTCATCAACCCAAAACGAAGAAAATCAAGTCAATGGCTGCTTGATTTGAATAAAAAAAACAGTGCATCGAATGTTTGTTTACGTCTCCACCGCCCCGCAAATTTGGAAATCTATCTGTCAAAAAGGTACCGTTGCTCCATCTGTGGTTATAAAATGGAATCTCCGCCAAGAGAGCTAATTCGTATGTAGGCTAATGAACAGCAGCTCCTTCTATATTTTCATTTTTGTTCTATTCAAGCCATGATTTTTTTCCTCTACCAAATTGTGATTAACCAAGCAAAAACTAAAAGCAACTAGATTTTTATTTTATTTTGTGCAACATTGAAGGGTGTAATTTATTTTTAAAACAAAATTATTCGGATTTCTCTTCGCTCCAAAAAAAAAACACAAGGCAAAAATCACTTGGCCAGTACGCGCATTATAGGATCCCAGGCGTACCCGAAGACTAAGCCGCGAATCTATAACTATGACACTGCCCGGGTGGGCAGGGATGTCAATGTCATGTCGCATTACAAGTCGAACCGTACCCAGGCCAAGGATGACGTCGACGAAGGTAAGCAAGAACGGAACCAACGTAGATTGAAAAAACTGGAAAAACAGAAAGCCACCCATCAACAGCAGACAGAACCAATACAACCGCATTCACAACCACAACCACAAGAACCGCAACTGGCGGAAGAATGTCAAGATTGATCACTCGTTTTTACAAACGATCTTAGAATTGAAAACACACGAAACACCATCAAAATGTCAATCACTATCCGTGCACAGAAACATGGCAATTCACACTCGCTCACCTCAAGCCTAGTAGCCTCTGCCCGATTGGCTGCGTCCTCTAACCACACTACCATCACACGCACACACACACACACACACACTATCAAGCATAACACAACCAAGGAAACCGATGATTTTCAAGTGACTTCTAGTGGTATACATGTATTGGTGTTGTCGCACTGCTGCTTCGCGGCTGTCACTTTTCTCCGCATGACCGCATCATTCCACGCCAGTCAGTGCTCTTAATCCACCTCCACCGCGACGCCATATGTGATTATATATTTTCCACCTGTCATTTCCCTCTCTATATTTTCCATTTCAACGCTACACGAGTTTGTTCCTTGATCCCCTTGTTTTTTTTTTGGTTTGACGCCTCCCTCGCTCCCACCTTGGTTGACAGTCCGAAATGGCTGCGTGCGTAACCAACCTGCTTGGATCGCTGATCGATAATGTACAAAAGTTTTACCCCCCTTTTTATACCGTTCTTTTCATTCACATTCTCAGATCGTCATTCTTACTACTATACACCACCTACAGTCCTAGTAAAATTCTTCGCCTACCCTGTTGCATCGTTTTTTACTTATCGCGTGTAGATAGCATAGCGGTTGGATGTAGAATCACTCAACATCGAACAACAACAAAAAATGTACACACAAAATCTGTGTCTGACCCCTGTTAACAGGAAACAAGCACCGACATCTCTTCCATCCTCGACCGTCACACACCTAGCAGTAGAGCATTGATCATTTTCTTGCCAAAATAAAAATAAGAACGAACAATCGAAACGAATCTAATCGAAATTGTATATTTTTCCTTTTTCGTCAGTCGAAACTAAAATTAAAAAGTATCTCGAAAAGTACTATCTTAAGCACGCTTACAAAGTACCGGATGAATTTAGGCAGTTCGTTCACGAGTAAATTGGGAGAATCTAAGAACGACACATCCCGTAGCTAGTAGAAAGAGAGAAAACTATTTCAGACACATAAGAGAAACATGGTAAACAACATCTCTTTTCAACAACGAAACTAAACGTTAAGGTACAATGTGACTAACAACGTTCTAGCCATTATCTGCTTGTCTAATTGGATTCGTGTCCAGAAGTTTAAACAAACAAAAATGCTACTAGAAGTTCAAAATTGAAAATCATTTGCAATCAGCTACACTCTCAAACATTTACACGAACATTTCGACCCCCTTTCGACGTGAGTCTGCCTTTCGACAAACCCTGATCGCCAAATTCTTTTCCTGTTCTATACTTCGACTTCTATTCCCTGTCTGTCACACTGTCTCTGTGCTGCACAGTCTACGCCGGAATCCAACGGAAACGACAAAGAAGAATGCAAAGAGCAATGATTAGGGATGCCAAAGAAGCTTTAGAAGACTACAAGTAATGACGCACCCACCGAAAGCTACAACAAATACGGCACCGCACTAACGCAGCCACTTTTGTTACTAGTTTTCCGACATACATTCAACATATACACGACCGCCTATACTGACACTCTTCCCGTTGTTTCTCCTGACAGTTATAGCAGGCTACCGAAGGAAACTTCTTCTCTCAAGGCTCATAAGAAGCGCAAAGCTCTCGCTGATGCTCTACGAGACGTGGAACAACAGCAAACACAAGTAAATCACAGACCAAAAAAAAAAACACTCGGACACAGATAAACTTATGCGTCATCACCACCGGCACACTGTAACTAAAACACAATAGTGGGAAAAGGGTAACTCACCGAATGGCTGCGTACTGAAGTTTTTTTTTTTTCTTTTCCGGGGGCGTAGCTACTCATGTTTGCAGACGAAAAATGTAAAGCACTCGAAAGGCTCTTCTAAGGGCTAGTACGCGATTCTTTGACGCTGAACTGTACTGCATTCCTTGGTGCGAGACAGTATCGCCTTAACATCAAGAAAGTTTTCAGAACTTCATCGGATGTTTTCAGAACTTCAGCGGATGTTTACAATCTTTAGTGGAAGTTGTTAGATTTTCAGCGGAAGTTTTCAGAATTTCAGCGTAAGTTTTTAGAATTCCAGCGGAAGTTTTCAGTACTTCAGCAGAAGTTATCAGAACTTCAGCGGAAGTTTTCAGAACTTCAGTGGAAGTTTACAATCTTAAGTGGAAGTTTTCAGAACTTCGAGGAAGTTTTCAGAACTTTAAGTGAAGTTTTTTGAATTTCAGCGGAAGTTTTCAGAATGTCAGCTGAAGTTTTCAGAACTTCAACGGAAGTTTTCAGCACTTCTGCGGAAGTTATCAGAACTTTAGCGGAAGTTTTCAGAACTTCAGCGGAAGTTTATAGAACTACAGCTGAAGTTTTCAGAACTTCGGTGGAGGTTTTCTGAACTTCAGCGGAAATTTTCAGAACTTTAGCGGAAGTTTACAGCACTTCAGCGGAAGTTTTCATAATTTCAGCGGAAATTTTCAGCACTTCTGCGGAACTTATCAGAACTTCAGTGGAAGTTTTCAGAACTTCAGCGGAAGTTTTCAGTACTTCAGCGGAAGTTTTCAGAATTTCAGTGCAACTTTTTAGAACTTCAGCGGAAGTTTTCAGAACTTCAGTGGAAGTTTACAATCTTAAGTGGAAGTTTTCAGAACTTCGAGGAAGTTTTCAGAACTTTAAGTGAAGTTTTTTGAATTTCAGCGGAAGTTTTCAGAATGTCAGCTGAAGTTTTCAGAACTTCAACGGAAGTTTTCAGCACTTCAGCAGAAGTTTTCATAATTTCAGTGCAACTTTTTAGAACTTCAGCGGAAGTTTTCAGCACTTCTGCGGAAGTTATCAGAACTTTAGCGGAAGTTTTCAGAACTTCAGCGGAAGTTTATAGAACTACAGCTGAAGTTTTCAGAACTTCGGTGGAGGTTTTCTGAACTTCAGCGGAAATTTTCAGAACTTTAGCGGAAGTTTACAGCACTTCAGCGGAAGTTTTCATAATTTCAGCGGAAATTTTCAGCACTTCTGCGGAACTTATCAGAACTTCAGTGGAAGTTTTCAGAACTTCAGCGGAAGTTTTCAGTACTTCAGCGGAAGTTTTCAGAATTTCAGTACAAGTTTTCAGAACTCCAGAGGAAGTTTTCGGAGCTTCAGCGGAAGTTTCCGGAACTTCAACGGAAGTTTCCGGAACTTCAGCGAAAGTTTCCGGAACTTCAGCGGAAGTTTTCAGAACTTCAGTGGGAGTTTTCAGAACTTCAGTGGATGTTCCCAGAATATCAGTGGAAGTTTTCAGAACTTCAGCGGAGGTTTTCAGAACATCAACGGAAGTATTCATAACTTCAGCAGAAGTATTCAGAACTTCAGCGGAAGTTCCCAGAACGTCACTGGAAGATCCCAGAACGTCACTGGAAGATCCCAGAACGTCACTGGAAGATCCCAGAACGACACTGGCAGATCCCAGAACGTCAATGGAAGATCCCAGAACGTCGTCGAAAGTTCCCAGAACATCAGCGAAAATTTTCAGAACTCCAGTGGAATATTCCAGAACATCAGCGGGAATTGTGTTCCCAGAACTTCAGCGGAAATTTTCAGAACTTCAGTGGAATGTTCCAGAACATCAGCGGGAATTTTCAGAACTTCAACGGATGTTCCCACAACGTCAATGGAAGTTCCCAGAACTTCAGCAGAAGCTCCCAGACCTGCGCTGAAGGTTCTCAGAACTCACCGGAAGTTCCCAGAACTTCAGCGAAAGCTTTCAAAATTTCAACGGAAGTTTCCAGAACTTCATCGAAAGTTCCCAGAACTTCAGCAAAAGTTACCAGAACTGCAGCGGAAGTTCCCAGATCTTCAGCGGAATTTCCCAGAACATCAGTGGAAGTTCTCAGAACTTCAGCGGAAATTCCCAGAATATCGATGAACTTTTCTGAACTTTACAGATGATGTCCAAAGTTTCCAGAACTTCTCCGAGGATCTCAAAACTTTTTCTCTAAAGAAACTCTGCCAACTTCAATGTAATCGAATCTACGGAAAAGTCTGTAAATTAGTTGTCGGAATCCGAAGATGATCTGAAACTTCTAGATAAGTTCTGGGAACTCCGAAACAGTTCTTGAAATCACATGAAGCTCACAAAACAACGATGAAATTCACAGTACAGCTCGCTGAAGTTCGCGAGCTTTCCTGAGCTCAATTCATAGAAATTCCCTGAAGTTCGTAGGACTTTCCTGAAGTTTATATGACTACCCAGAAGTTTGTAAAACTTTCGTGAAGTTCGTAAAACTGCACTGCACCGTCAGGTTTGGAAACGTCAACAATTTTTGAGCAGATTCTGTTTTTGTTTTCCATTCCGAATCGGACTCAAACATGTTGCGGGGTTGAATTGCAGCTGTTCGACATCGGTTGCCCGTCAAAGAATCGTTATGTGTACTCGCAATTAACCAAAAAAGTGGCCCTTTCAGTCATATACGGATCCTATCAGAACTTACAAACACTGGTGTAGCTGATTTTCAGCTGTATAAAGTCAAAAAGGCGAAATAACTTACGTAAATGGTTGATGATTGACTAGCCTTTTGAAGCATTTTACCCGTCACCACGTATCTCTAATAAAACAAATCGGGTAGGATAATAAACCTCAGTAGCTATGCCCCCGGATACACTGTTAATCTAATTTGAACGTATTCCGATATTTACATCGGGACGCAGCCATTCGATGAGATGCCCCTTATAAAAGGAGTAAATTCGGCGTCCAGGAATCTTGGACGGCGAGTTTACTCAGTTTATGCGGGAAATTGGCAGCTCCCCGCCCAAGAATCTCGCCGACTGGCTGCGTGCTGTTTGTTTTTATTTTATGTTTTAAATTTAGTGCTCTATAGATCAGTGCACGGTCCCTAACCTCACTTTTTGCGTCCTATTATTTTGTCTGTGAGTAAAAGAGATGGCAACGAATGGGAGCCAAAACAAACCACCCAAAACTGTCAAAATTTACGGGAGAGGGAAGAGTGCGGCAAATCTTCGTGCACTGATCTATAATGTTTAATTTTAGTCGATGCCCTGTATCCGGGTGCGTTTTAGTTAGACGAGCGTCTTTTAATCGATTGAGCCGATATTTTGTATGTGATTAGAGTCACTATCCATGTACTAGTCACCTACAGAAAATCAGCTGAATTGGTTGGATGAAAGTTGAGAAATAGCGGTGGGTGGACTCCAGCTTCTTACAGGAGCTTCCTTTAGGAATTTATTTTAACTAGCCCGTCGTTACGCTCCTCAAAATTAAAAAAAAAAAACAGTCCTGAGTTGTTATGCCTCCGGATACCCTAATTGGAGTTTTTTTTATTCTAGAGCGTATTCTGATTTTTACATCAGGACGTAGCCTCTCGGTAGTTCGGTGATTTCCCGGTCGGCGAATTAACCTCCGCGCCCCACCACGAAAGACTAAACAATATACACCATTTTGCAATCATCTCGACCACAATTGGCTGCGTCCCTTCTCGTTACTTACATCGAACCCAGTCCCCAGTTCACCCCTATTCCCGTTTTCGATCAAAACGGATTTGTATGCGGAATCCAGTTCGATCGAAAAAGGCAATAGTTGGGTGGTTGGTTCCTTACTTCTTCGAAATTTTCTGTGTGATTTTCATCAATTTTGCCGACAATTATAATACAATTTCCATCTTTCTTTTCTGCTTTTGACTATCTCCCCTCAGTAAAAATAAAAAATAACCTCTACCGCCAGAGCCTGTACCCCAAGCACACCCGAACCTACCACAATATGTGCAACCCCAACCGCAGGAGCATGCACGACGGCAAATTTGTCTGGCAGAATTACAATAGCTACAAACCCTAACTTCGGAAACTTCTTGGCAAAATGGATTTTGCTGGTAAATCTCTCAATGTTCCATGGCTAACTTCGTTCGACTCCATTTTTGCTAATTTCAATTCGTTTGACATCTCTTATTTTGGCTGCGTACTTAGTCCCCGCAACTGTTGTGTCGCTGACTGTATCGATCGTTTTTCCACCTGTCTCATGAAAAGTCTCGAAATAGCGCAAACGAACGTGTGGGAGGGTGAGAAAATGATCCATTTGTCCGTTTGTTTGCCAATGTCGAAAAAAAAAGTCACGCCCGTCGAAAATAGCACATCCGTCACAGTCCACACTCACGTCATACTTGCACAGAATCTTCACCCAACCAAACACCGCACATCCCACATCAAGTGCTCCGAATTGTCGGAGCAGGCAAACAACAAATCGAATCGAATCCACTGAAATGAAACCGTTCTAATGATGGAATTTTTCTAATTTTCTCTCTTTCTGTCTGTCTCTTCACTGTGACTCTATCTGTCTTCTGTTCTTTCTATCTTTTCTCTGTTTTCCCGCTAATACCTTTCTGTGTTGTTCTAATTGCAGTTCACACTGAAACTGAAACTAATGTTCGCAAATCGAATCTCGGGGACAAAAAGGGCATCTATAGCAGCGACATTAACTTGGACGCTTAAAGTTCAAAACAAAAGCCCTTATCGCCGCCAAGCTACGTTTAATTTTTTTTTCATATGATTTCAATTAAACTGAAAAAAATCCAGGAATAACAAGATTGGAATATAACTTTTCGATTCAACAAAAAAACCAGTTCAGTATAATTTGCCTGTGCACATGCTGCGCCAAGTTCACATTATTTTTGGTTATGTTTTGTTTCTTCATTTATTGGTTGCTGTTAAAAAATTCAAAAAGTACTGCTTCTTTGTAATTTTTTTCCTACACTACTATCAGAGCGAAATTCTAAAAAAAAAAGCATCGAAGCAATCGCTACTAAATTCCATTTCTTTCCTAATCAGTACATTTTGGTTTGATTATGATTTTGCCCTAATGAAGCCTCACTTACGTCCTTTCTCGGAACAAAAACAAAAAAAGTCTAATCCAAGTATGCATTTTTCTTCACACCGAGGTGAAAAAACAACAAACAAAGCAATGCTCAAAATCGAAAATTAAAACACATTTCAAAATTGTGCCATGTTGACAATTTCCGTTTTGTTGGTTCTGTTGGTTCGAAGCGTATACTCTTAGATTGACATTTTAATGATAAGTTTAGCTCAACGTACAGACAGACACAGTCGACGACTTTGAACAGAGTTTCTATTTTGATTCATAGAGATGCAATATTTACAACAGAAAAACAAGTTTATTTACAGAGGAAAACCCGGAAGAGATTAAAACATAACCTTCTATGTTTTCATATAGTGATACACTGATAAACAATTATGTCCTAAGCAAAATGAATCGAAACATTATATTTACAACAACCTGAACGATGACGTAAAACACGGAAACCTATGTAAATATGCTAAGCGAACTTCCGAAAAGAAAATGATCAACAATAAAAACCAACGTAGAAGCTCTTTTAATTCTACATTTCTCTCTTCAGTAACCAATACCTCCTGAATTCCCGTTGTGTGTAGAGAATCTGTCATTTGTAGCATGCGCGAGTTCCCTCTTGGTACTTTTCTTCTATTTATTATTATTATTATCTAGCTGTAGGTGTACAAAGCAAACAAAAAAAAAGCAAAGCAAGCCGCGAGGTACTGCAAAATGCCATTCTGTGTACATTTTTAAAATGAATGATTTTTAAAACTTTCTTCACTTAATTAAAAAAAAACAAACAAACCAACTTCAAATAAATCTGCAATCAAAACAAATCTCCAATTCGCCTGAGTTAACCCCTCAAAACGACCGATGAATGCGACTCCACAAACCACCACTACTTGTTTAACCACTATTAAAAGTAAGTAAACTTCCTTATTGTCAACTTCTCGCTTGTCTAACATTGGCACATTTACCCTACGACCGCATTCACACCCAGTGTCATCGAAGCATCATTCATGCATTTCACTCAAACGACAGTTTGTTTTTTATTTTGCGATTTTATTTGATTGTTCCAACTAATGTTCCACACTACGGAATGCGTCAATGGCGATACAACGGGACTGGTTGTACGAATTGGCTGCGTGCGTTCGCGTGCACACGTGTTTGACAGAATTATTAAACGACCGAAACCGGGACAATCGATGCTCCTTTGGGCCATTTCCTTCATATGAGAGGATGACACCACGCCTACTAATCTGTCCTGTCTCGCGCTCCAATCACGCAAAACAATCGATCCTTGTTCTGCCTCTTTCTCTCTCTCTTTCTTTCTATGTTTTTTCTCACTACCACCATCGCACATTAATGTAATCCTAATCGCAACTCCTCTATACGGTCTCAAACTTCCTCTATCGCACATGCATCGACATCTCGCCATGAATCTCGCCGCCATTCATACCGACCACTCCATCAGCCCATCCGCCTAACCGCATTATTCTCTCTTCGTTTTCGCACTCTCTCTCACTCCCGTACTCTTGATCACCTTGTTGAATCACCATGTCCACCATTCAGTGAGATTAAATCCAGCACGACCAACGCGCAAGTTCAACAATCCCGCGCTGTACGACGATCCCACCGATTCGAAGCTCCAGGACAAACAGGACAAGATCGATCGGGTAACGGAGCTGAACAAGATCCGCTACGAACCGGTCAATCTGGAGAACGAACGTCGTAAGCAGCTGGAGGAAGCCAAGAAGAAGGAGGAGGAATCGATCGAGCGCGAGAGCAAGCGGCTGGAGGAGAAGGCTCGCCAGGCGGAGGAAGCCCGCATTGCCGCCGAAGAAGCCGAGCGGAAGCGCAAGGAAGACGAACGCCTAGCGGAAGAAGCCCGGCTAGCCGAGGAAGCCAGGTTGGCCGAGGAAGCCAGGCTGGCCGAGGAAGCTGCAAAGCTTGCCGAGGAAGCCAAAAAGGTTAGTGAGCGACGACAATCGTCCGACGGCGTGCGTGTGATTTTGATTGCGCTTCTTTCGGTTTAGGCTGACGAGAAGAAGAAGAAGGCTTCCGAGAAGAAGAAGAAGCTAGAAGAGGAGGAACGAAAACGCAAGGAGGAGGAGGAAGAACTCAAGCGTAAGGAAGAAGAAGAGCGAAAACGGTAGGTTTGATATTTATTTTCTGGGGATACAAATCAGTCTCAATTGGCTTTCTTTTGGAAACAAAACAAAAAATCAAAATTCACCCACAGATTGGAAGAAGAAGAACGTAAGAGAAAGGCCGAAGAAGAAGCAAAACGGTACGATTGGCATTTTTTCAAAAACAAAATTCAAAATTGATTATTGAGCGTTTCTAGGAACAACAACGAAAAACAAATGAATTTTCGAATCGAGCTTCTTCGATTTGTATGAAACTTTGCGTTATTGTTCGTTGTAGGTAATGATTCACATTTTTACTAAAATTCGGCCATTTTGGATCTTGATTTTATTTTTTTCAAAATAGCGCTTTAAATTTTTTTTTAATTTTAGCACGGAAACGGCATTTCCTTATGGTAAAATTTTATATCTTTGAAAACCAAATCAAGCTACATATCAAATCACATCTACTAGCTGAAATATGACCAACGGCACTCAAAACGACAACCATAGAGCCAGTTTCGGATATTCCGTAACCAGTTCAACGATGGCCATATGACTCTATGATTGTCGTTTTGACTGCAATTAATCATATTTCATCGAGTAGATGTGATTTGATATGTCGCTTGATATGGTTAAGAGAGATATCCCATTTGACCATGTGGAGCCATAATCCGGAATAACCAGAACCGGTTCTATAGTGGTCATATGACTCTATGATTGTCGTTTTGACTGCAATTATTTCATCGAGTAGATGTGATTTGATATGTCGCTTGATATGGTTAAGAGAGATATCAAATTTGACCATGTGGAACCATGATCCGGAATAACAAGAACCGGTTCTATAGTGGCCATATGGCCATATGGATGTCGGTTTGAGTACCATTGGTCATATTTCATCGAGTAGATGTGATTTGATATGTCGCTTGATATGGTTAAGAGAGATATCAAATTTGACCATGTGGAACCATGATTCGTAATATCCGGAACCGGTTCTATAGTGGTCATATGACTCTATGATTGTCGTTTTAACTGCAATTAATGATATTTCATCGAGTAGATGAGATTTGATATGTCGCTTGATATGGTTATGAGAGATATCCCATTTGACCATGTGGAACCATGATTCGGAATATCCGGAACCGGTTCTACAGTGGCCATATGACTCTATAGTTGACGGTTTGAGTACCATTGGTCGTATTTCTTCGAGTAGATGTGATTTGATATGTCGCTTGATATGTTTAAGAAAGATATCAAATTTGACCATGTGGAACCATGATTTGTAATATCCGGAACCGGTTCTACAGTGGCCATATGGCTCTATGGTTGTCGGTTTGAGTACCATTGGTCATATTTCATCGAGTAGATGTGATTTGTTATGTCGCTTGATATGTTTATGAGAGATATCCCATTTGACCATGTGGAGCCATAATCCTGAATATCCAGAATCGGTTCTATGGTGTTCATATGGTTCAATGGTTGACGTTTTGAGTACCATTGGTCATATTTCATTGAGTAGATGTGATTTGATATGTCGCTTGATATGGTTAAGAGAGATATCAAATTTGACCATGTGGAACCATCATTCGTAATATTCGGAACCGGTTCTACAGTGGCCATATGGCTCTATGGTTGTCGGTTTGAGTACCATTGGTCATATTTCATCGAGTAGATGTGATTTGATATGTCGCTTGATATGGTTAAGAGAGATATCAAATTTGACCATGTGGAGCCATAATCCGGAATAACCAGAACCGGTTCTATAGTGGTCATATGACTCTATGATTGTCGTTTTGACTGCAATTAATTTTATTTCATCGAGTAGATGTGATTTGATATGTCGCTTGATATGGTTATGAGAGATATCCCATTTGACCATGTGGAACCATGATTCGGAATATCAGGAACCGGTTCTACAGTGGCCATATGACTCTATGGTTGTCGGTTTGAGTACCATTGGTCATATTTCATCGAGTAGATGTGATTTGTTATGTCGCTTGATATGTTTATGAGAGATATCCCATTTGACCATGTGGAGCCATAATCCTGAATATCCAGAATCGGTTCTATGGTGTTCATATGGTTCAATGGTTGACGTTTTGAGTACCATTGGTCATATTTCATTGAGTAGATGTGATTTGATATGTCGCTTGATATGGTTAAGAGAGATATCAAATTTGACCATGTGGAACCATCATTCGTAATATTCGGAACCGGTTCTACAGTGGCCATATGGCTCTATGGTTGTCGGTTTGAGTACCATTGGTCATATTTCATCGAGTAGATGTGATTTGATATGTCGCTTGATATGGTTAAGAGAGATATCAAATTTGACCATGTGGAGCCATAATCCGGAATAACCAGAACCGGTTCTATAGTGGTCATATGACTCTATGATTGTCGTTTTGACTGCAATTAATTTTATTTCATCGAGTAGATGTGATTTGATATGTCGCTTGATATGGTTATGAGAGATATCCCATTTGACCATGTGGAACCATGATTCGGAATATCAGGAACCGGTTCTACAGTGGCCATATGACTCTATGGTTGTCGGTTTGAGTACCATTGGTCATATTTCATCGAGTAGATGTGATTTGTTATGTCGCTTGATATGGTTAAGAGAGATATCCCATTTGACCATGTGGAACCATGAATCGTAATATCCGGAACCGGTTCTACAGTGGCCATATGGCCGTATGGTTGTCGGTTTGAGTACCATTGGTCATATTTCATCGAGTAGATGTGATTTGATATGTCGCTTGATATGGTTAAGAGAGATATCAAATTTGACTATGTGGACCATGATTCGGAATATCCGGAACCGGTTCTACAGTGGCCATATGACTCTATGGTTGTCGGTTTGAGTACCATTGGTCATATTTCATCGAGTAGATGTGATTTGATATGTCGCTTGATATGGTTAAGAGAGATATCAAATTTGACTATGTGGACCATGATTCGGAATATCCGGAACCGGTTCTACAGTGGCCATATGACTCTATGGTTGTCGGTTTGAGTACCATTGGTCATATTTCATCGAGTAGATGTGATTTGATATGTCGCTTGATATGGTTAAGAGAGATATCAAATTTGACCATGTGGAACCAGGATCCGGAATATCCGGAACCAGTTATATGGTGGCCATATAGCTCTACGGTTGTCGTTTTGAGTGCAATTGGTCATATTTCGTAGAGTAGATGTGATTTGATATGTTGCTTGATATGATTATGAGAGATATAAAATTTAACCATATGGAACCATAATCCGGAGCATCCGGAACCGATTCCAATATGCTGTCGCAATGATAGGTAAGATATATGATAAAAATTGAAGAAAAAAACACCCCCGTGCTAACACATTCATGAATATAAAAAAAGAGGGATGGGCATGGGGCGAATGCCACCCAACAGATGTAAGAACCACTCGGCCATGGCATCTCGAAGATACAAATTATTTTAAATAAATAGTTAGTTGGACACTTGAAAGTACTTAATTTTTTTTTTTTATTACTAAAATTACTAAAAACATATTTTTGTAAATTTTTCCCAGTAAAATATTTTTCTCCACAGCTTCGTCTCAGACGTCATTTCGATCAGAAGTGCCGTTTCCGAGCGACAATTTTTCGAATAATTTCAAGGACGTTGTTCTGAAAATTTTACAACATTCAAAATGGTCGAATTTTAGCATAAATGTGAATCATAAACAGTTATGCAAAGTTTCAAGCAAATCGGAGAATGTCGAGTTTTTCCGATTCGTCAGTTGGCGTGGAACTGCTCTATTATTGAATCGATTAAAACAATTATTGTTTAAAATTGACTAATCAAACGCTTGGTTTCATAGATTGGAGGAAGAGGAGCGCAAGCGCAAGGAGGAAGAGGAGAAGAAGCGGTAAGACCCCCTTTGGCTGCATACTGATCGGAAGCGATAACCGAGCCTCGAATGTAATTTCAGATTGGAGGAGGAAGAACGCAAGCGTAAGGAGGAAGAGGAAAAGAAGGCCGAAGAAGCCCGCCTCGCCGAGGAAGCTCGTCTGGCCGACGAAGCCCGTCAAGCTGATGAGAAGAAGCAAAAGGAGGAGGAGGAAAATCGCATCAACGAGGCGCAGAAGATTCGCGAGGATGAGCTCACGAGGTTGGATGCCCTGGAGAAGCAAGCCATCGAGGAAGACAATGTGGAATTGCTCCGTGAAATCACCGAACTGAAGGCCATTGCCCAGTCCGATGAGGAATTGCTGAAGCGCCAGGCTGCCAAACTGGAAGAAGCTGCCCCTGTGGCTGAAAGTACAGAAGCTCCTGCTGCTGCGGAAGCACCAGTAGTTGCTGAAGAGGCTGCGCCTGCCGCTACTGAGGAGCCAGCTGCTGCTGCGGAACCAGCCGCCGAAGTTGCCGCCGAAGAGAGCAAGACTGAGGAAAGCCCAGCTGCTGAACAGTAAACTCTAAGGTGACAGACATCGACGCATAGGCTAAGATACCTTAGAGTTAATCAATGTGTTCAAAGAAGCTGCAAATGAAGCTTAAAACTCGTGCCTTTAAAGAGAGAAAAAAATTATCACAAAAATATATTGAAAGACACTAACGACCACCGTGCTGCAAATACTACTAGATTGTCAGCCGGAAACTGATTGGAACCGAACTCGACTACAATTTAAGAATTTAGAATGTTTAACCTTCAACGCAACTACTTTAGAAACTCTACACATTCGTGAATAATCGCGCAAGAAACGCTCAGTAGCTGTGCCTCCAGCCAATCCCAACCGTACGAATGCACTAGGGATATAGATCTTGGAGTCTATATGTATGACCCTTTCGCAACGAAAACGTACGGCATCCAACATATGTGGATGATCAACGGACGCAGCCAACGGTAACCAAATAAGCTCTTCAGCAAACGACTTCATTTAGTGCATTTCTCTGTCGCTTTTAACTCGAATCCTTCGCCCCGGACCCTCGGAAAATAAACTAGCTTTTACCATCACTTCCTGTCAAGTGTTTTAATCACAAACATGGACACACATACATACTATCAAGAAGCATTACAGATCTGTTAAGTTTGCAAACTGAATAAATAAATTTTATGTTCGAGACCGTCTGTTTTTCTGATTTCTTCACAAAGTCACCTCGAGATCGATGGTTGGCTGCATCTTAGCCGGATGCAACAGAAGATCGTTGTCCAGGTCTTCGAAGGTCAGGTGCCGAACCTGGGCCAACTTTTCCTCAAGCAGGTCGCAGGACTTAGTCAATAGGGGTTCCCATTTGGGTGGTGGTAGTTTGAATTCCTCCTGCGGTGGGATCGGATGGAGCTTGATGTCTGGTCCGAGGAGCATCGAAACGTGGTCAAACATATCCACCAGAGCGGTTGCCTCATGCAGAAGGTCAGACACGGCACGGTGTTGCGTATCGCTCCAGGTAACGGTTTTCTTATTTGGGCGTGGTCTTCGAGGCGGAATGGGCGAGAGACGCATGTTGGCTAGCCGAGAACCTATAACCATATCTTTGAACTCGGCCCAAGGTCGGTTACCTTCCCCAACTGTGCGTCGGGGTAGTTCGCGCGGAACGTATTGTTCACATTCTTCATCCGAGAAGTCCAGATTTTGCCAGGAACTGAAAGTGGGAGGTTCCAGGAATCTTGATTTGTGCTGATCTGCGTCCTGTGACGATCCGGCTAGCAGATCTGGGGTGGGCTGTTCTTTGATACTGTCGCCGCTATGGGTAGATCCATTGTCCTCCAGATGGTCCAGAACATCCATGTCCGAAGTCCTGAAGAACTGCTTGATTTTCTCGTCTATTTTCATCAACTCCGCCAAACTGGAAGATTGCTTAACGTCTTTTTCGCTGGGTGCTTCATCAATTACCACCTTCGGAGCCGGACCATCACCTGCTCCAGAATCCAGAAACTTTCGGAACGAAATTCCGCTACGTGGCAAAGCCGTTTGTGTTGCCACATCTAGCGTTGGCACGGACTCCGTCATCTGTGCGACGGAATGCGTCAGAATAACTAAGGAAATAAAAACAAACACACTGTCACACTTCAGCACAGCCTCCTGATTATGATACTCTTACAATTTCCAATCTCTCTAATCACCAGATTTCCATCGGTAAGTATTTCCTCATCCACCATTGCAATGAGATCTTTCTGCTCATCCGTTGAGGCTTCCTTCATGAGTTTTGTATGCACCGGATCGGTTTGAACGGATGCGTTTACCCGGCGCAGCCGTCTGTGTGAGAATAAAAACACAAACTAAAACTCAGTACCCTCCGCTTGCGCGCACGACGGGACCGATCGGGAACAGTGGAAGCTATTTTTAGCCAACCTCCACTGCACTCTATGTCTAAGCACTTTCAACGCAGGTCGTGACGAGCAGAAACAACGAAAATACATTTACATACTTGGACACATCCAAAATTCTCGCTCGCAGATCGGGCTTTGGAACAGCCGGAACCAATCCTTGCGCCACGCTGGCCGGACGCCATGGTGGACGTTCTCTGGGTTCCTCCTTCAACGGTTTCTTCACCGGTTTGGCGACATTCGGTCTGAAAGTCGATCAAAAAATTCTTTTCAAACACCTTCCCATAATATCAGCATACAATGCCAAAATCAACCTGAACGGAGCACTCGAATTGGCCACGGAAGCAGCGATGGATTCGTCGCTGACACTCAGCGTCTCGCTGGTCGTTTCCGACGACGGAGATTTGCTCATTCCGAACCGATTGCCTCCGACTTTACGGGTCCACTAATTAATGTTTAATCGATTTTTCCTTCTTTGCACGTTCAACGAGAACAACAACAAGGTTACATTCCCGCGACCAAGAACAGACATTACTAATCGAAGAAGGCCAAGCGCGAAATACACACCGTAAACCGTTGCCTAGGTGAAAAGTAGGAAAAGGGAACCTTCACATACAGCCACATGGTGGAAACAGGTGACGGGGATTAGAAGCGGGTTTTGCAATCGGTGGAAAATCGATACGCGATACGTTTTCCACTTGTTGTCATTTCCACCACCACAACTACAACTGCTGATAGGTAAATATATTAAGGATTAGACAAACTGCATAAAGTGCGATCAAAGCACGTGTTGGGACAAAAGTGATGCATTTCTAGCCACGTGATTGCTGTTTGGTGAAAGAGCTCAGCACGCAGCCTAATTGGTTCGGAATCATTTCAATCGCAGTACACTTTCAAAGATGATTTTATTCTGATAAATTAAGAGCCAACTTGGATCATCACATCAATTGACGCTTGAAGACATAGGCAGCGATTGCCATAAGCAAGCTTCTCCATAGTACCACTCCCGGACTCCCAGCCGTTGCACCATTACAAAGCTCAGTTCTGCATTCCTGACAGGTCACCATACGATATTTGGACGTCAGTTCACTCTGTTCATTGAGCAGATTGCACTCTCCAGCGACGATACATCCACGGGAAATTCGTTCCGTGTTGTTCCCACCTGGAATAGGTTGTTCATCAAATAAACCATCCACTCACCCATTCACACAAATACCTTTAACACGCATGTAACCGCAGCTGGTCGAAACCAACTGGGCATCGGATACCACTGGACAAACTTCTTTCCGTAGGGACTTGATGTCGGTGCAATCCAAATCCGTAAGATCCGAATCGCAACTGTAGCACTCGAGACTGTGGATCCCGGAGAGGGCCGCTACCGAAACTAGTAGCAAAACGGTAGAGACGGCAAGCTTCATCGTTTTAGTTTGGATCCTTTCCGCACCGATTCAGGTAGTCGACTGAATGTCGAACGGGCGCGAGAACTGACCAACTACGGGGTTTTTCGAATGAATCCAAAGCAAATAGTAATGCAGTAGTATAGATTCTACCATAAACAGTCGTCTCAGCATCTGATAACGATTGAAGAGCCATTGATTAAACGGCAATAGATCGTGCGTCCGTCAGCTTCAAGTTGTCCAAACACTTGAAAGTTGAGGATGAGAACTATCATTATGACAACATTCAATGCAGATATTGATGTCAGGTTTTAACGTTAAAACGTTTTGTGAACAAGGATCTAACCAGGATAACCAACGTCTGCAATGGTGCATTTGCATTGCAGACATTATCGACGGTTATCGATTAACATCCCTGGATCTAACTATATTCTAGTCAAATACACAGGTTGGGTCATATATTCGGGAAACCCTTAAATCTCGATCAGAGCCGTATTTACGTAGATAAATCGATTTAAAGACTCAGAATTAATTCTTATAAGAGGTCTATGAGCGGTTTCGAAAAAAAAAATACGGAGCTACAGGATCAGTTTAATTAATTTGCCACTTTTACGGACTTACCTATACCAACCGGACTTACACTATCTTTCGGACTTACCATTGCTCCTTATGGTCCATATTTCTATCACAACACCGAATTCATTCGGATAAAACATTAATGAGTGGTTTTGAAAAAAAAACCACGGAGCTCTAGGATCAGTTTTAATAATTCCCTCTTTTACGGACGTTCCGGATCTTCTAGAGGACTATCCCGTGGTCCACAGCGTCCATATTCCGGTCACAACTCCGAATGCATTCTAATAAGACGTCTATGAGCGGTTTCGAAAAAAGCTACAGGATCAGTTTCATGAATTGACCATTTTTATGAATGTTCCGGGTCTACCGGAGGACCAGACTTGTGGTTGCAACATTTTCCCAAAAGGTGGTCATCCATCTTGTTAATTAGGTTTTGCACCGTCGGGGTTAACCTCAATCTGATGACAGTTCAGTGGTACTGTTTACGTGGACTTAGTCGATTTTTTCTTGGGTGGATTTTCTCGACAGCCGATTACCACTGAGTTCATTCGTGACGTCACGCTGCAGTACCTAATTCTAACACCGAGAGACAGGAAATCGCACACGCTGAGCTTAGGAAGGAAATGGCTAAGCAAGAACTGCAGATCGCTCAGCTATCGAAACGAATCGCATTGACAACTGGGACAAACTCTGATTTCATGCGTCAACCGCCATTAAAACGGCGCCGCGATGAAGGCTCGCTCACTAGCAAACCACTTGTTGGTGGTTCTAAAGCAGTAACAGGCGACAATGCCTTTACCGAGGTCCTTACTGTCCCTGAACCCACCGAGCTGTTTTGGCTGTACCTTTCTCGTATTCATCCTAGCGTGAAATCGGAATAAAAAAAAACCTGGTCAAAGTTTGTGTACAGTGCGAAGATCCGATTAAGGTTGTGCCGCTAGTCAAAAAAGGATCCGACATCAGCCGTATGAGCTTCATCTCGTACAAAGTCGGAATGGATCCCAAACTACGCGAAGTTGCTCTTAGATCGGATACATGGCCGAAAGAAATTTTGTTCCGTGAATTTGAAGACGGTTCAAAAAACATGTGGTTGCCTCGTTTGAACACGCCTACCATCACGATCTCTCTTATTCCGGGACCTTCCGAGTTCTCAACTCCCATTTGAGGACTAGACCCAGTCTGCTGATTCATAATTGGATTTTCCGTTGTGAATTGGAGCGCTGTAGACCAGAACGCACTGCCTGTCGCATTATGGGAGACCTCGAACCACTCGATCCAGTCGCGCTAGCTGTTTCCCGCCATCAAAGTCGTTCTATTTCCTGCCATCAGAGTCGTTCTGGCCCTGCGGTCGAGTTCGGTGGTGGGGTCTCCCAAGCATCGTCTTCAGGCAAGTATGCATACATTAGTTACAGTCATTTGCCTGATCAGTTTCCGTGTTCCAGTGCAACGCTTCAAGCACCTACCGGCTGTTTCCAGTTGAGAAGCACTTCTGATACTGCTCATTCACAACATCCACTTTACTGTTCGAACAATCCTAATTCATTTCCGGGACGCACAATAGACCGCTCTTTGGAAGCTCCTGGTTACTCCAGCCCAGTCGTGCCGATTCCTGCCAGCGTTCAGCATAGTCGTCCTGGACCTGTGGCTGGATATGAATCAGGAGTCTTCCACCAAGCAAGTACAATCAATATATTGACTATTCACTGCCTGATGCCGATCAAATTTTCAGCAATTCTGACTATGTTAGTCATTGTGATGATGCCTCTGTAACTCCCAATCCTGGACACCCGGAACGCGCCGTAGAAAGCCCCCAATCCCTCCGTCTCATTCCTGCCATCAGCGTCCTTCGTTTATCATAGTCGTTCCGGACCTGCTGTCGGATGTTGAGAGGGGGTCTTCCAACCCACTCACTATGGCGAGTATCCAATGAGACTTGATGATGGTCAGTTATTGCCTTATGTATCTGTGATTTACAGAGAGAGCAGTCGTTCGATTCCTTGCCGCAAGCAGGACGTCGTGATCTTCTACCAAAATGCCGGTGGAATGAATCCTGATGTTGAAGAGTACCGCCTAGCTGTATCGGATCGTTGCTACGATATAATTGTCCTGTGCGAAACGTGGCTCGATTATCGAACGCTTTCCAGTCAAGTCTTCGGTCCAGACTACGAGGTCTTTCGTTGCGATCGGAATCCTAACAACAGCCGTAAATCTACTGGTGGAGGTGTCCTTGTAGCTGTCCGTCGCGGGTTGGAGGCAAAGGCCATCGAGAACGATTCATGGAACTATGTGGAGCAGGTTTGGACAGCCATCAATCTGGGTGATCGCACACTATTTCTATGCGCTCTGTACATTCCACCTGATCGAGTCCGCGACAATAAACTCATCGATACTCACTGTCGGTCAGTTTTCACAGTTATCGAAAGTGCCACTCCAGTTGATGAGATATTCACCTCTATTCCCGTTTTCGTACGAACCGGATTCGTTCGAAACGAAAGCAATTTCCCATTCCCGTTTTCGTTCGAAGCAATTCTAACTTTCGAACATCGTTCGTTCGAACGATGTTGCTATTCCCATTTTCGTACGAATGCGTTTTTTTGTTCGCTTTCCAAACGTCACTCCAAACTCGCGAATCGCGAGAGAGCCAGGGGATAAAAACTTTGAAATTTTTTGTAATCCCTAATAAAAATGTTAATTTGCTTAACGACGTGATTGATTGATTTATCTTTAATAAGGAGGCTTTCAGCCTGAGGCTGGTTCGCCTCCAACGTGTTCGGGGTATCATCCAAACTATTTTTGGAATAGTTCAATCATTTGGGTTATCGTTCGTGTATGGTATTTTTTTATAAGGGATGGCCTGAGTGTACAAAAAAATCTACAACCAAATTTTTGGTGTTTGATTGTAATAATTTTACTTAAACTTACGTGAAGTTAAAGATCTCATATGGAAATTGATTGAAAAATCATGCAATAAAAATATAATTTAGATTAAAAAAGGATCGAAACAACTAGAAAATTTTGGACAAAAGCATTTATGTAACAGCTTATAACAAATATTTATGCATTTAATTATGACTCAAAAACATTGCCATAGCCATATACAGTCAAGATTCCTATAGTGCGGATTCGTTCTTGCCGGATTCCTATAGTACGGTCGATCCGGCATTAACGAATAAACGTAGCATATGGGATTAGAGCTAATAGGGACCAAACACTGATTGTACGGCAATTTGAAGAGATAACTTTCTGATGTCTTTTGAGAAGTTGTTAAGCAGAAAGTTGGCCACCTTTTGGGACGGTTCAGTTTCCGGTAGGACACAAGTCTGATCCTGTGGAAGATCCGGAATATCCGTAAAAGTGGCCAATTCATGAAACTGATCCTAGAGCTCCGCGAATTTTTCGAAACCACTTATAAACGTCTTATCAGAATGAATTTGGAGTTGTGACCAGAATATTGGCCCTGGTGACCACGGGATAGTTCACCGGAAGATCCGGAACATCCGTAAATGTGGTCAATTCATGAAACTGATCCTAGAGCTCCGCGGATTTTTTGAAACCACTCATACACGTCTTATCAGAATGAGTTCGGAGTTATGACCGAAAAATTGACCCTGGGGACTACGGATCCATTATGATATCCGGAACATCCGTAAAAGTGGTCAATTCATGAAACTGATCCTAGAGCTCCACGGATTTTTTGAAACCACTTATAGACGTCTTATCACAATAAATTCGGAGTTATGTTCGGAAAATGTACTCTGGGGACCATGGAATGGTTCACCGGTAGATCCGGAACATCCTGAAAAGTGGTTAATTCATAAAACTGATCCTAGAGCTCCGTTTTTTTTTTTTCGAAACCGCTCATAGACGTCTTATCACAATTAATTCGGAGTTTTGACTGGAATATGGACTCTGGGGACTACAAGATGGTCCACGGGAAGATCCGGAACATCCGTAAAAGTTGTAAAGTTATGAAACTGATCCTAGAACTCCGTGAACTTTCCGAAAATACTCATACACGTCTTATCAGAATGAATTCAGAGTTGTGACCTGAATATTGATTGTGGGAACCACAGGATGGTTCAAAAGAAGATCCGGAACATCCGTAAAAGTGGTCAATTCATGCAACTGATCCTAGAGCTCCATGTTTTTGTTAAACCTTTCATAAACGTCTTACTACAATTAATTCGGAGTTTTGACTAGAATTTGGACTCTGGGGACTACAGGATGGTCCACCGAAAGATCCGGAACATCCGCAAAAGTTGTCAATTCATGAGACTGATTCTAGAGCTCCATGAGTTTGCGAAACTACTCATAAAAGTTTTATCAGATTGAATTTGGAGTTGTGACCGGAAAATGGACCTTTGGGACCACGAGATGGTTCACCAGGAAGATCCTGAACATCCATAAAAGCCGTATTTATGAAGACAAAAATATTAGCACCAAAACCATCACTTTTAGGTTTATGGTGTCTGGGGAAAGCTT